TCGGCTCACCGCAACCTCCGCCTCCTGGGTTCAGGCAATTCTCCTGCCTCAGCTTCCTGAGTAGCTGGGATTACAGGCACGCGCCACCATGCCCAGGTAATTTTTTGTATTTTTAATAGAGATGGGGTTTCACCATGTTGACCAGGATGATCTTGATCTCTTGACCTCGTGATCCACCCGCCTCGGCCTCCCAAAGTGCTGGGATTACAGGCTTGAGCCACCGCGCCCGGCCAACCCTATACTCTTATATAAGTCAGCCCTGGACAGCAGAAAGCCCAGGCTCGTTACTCCACAGGTAAATATGAAGTTTTCTTTAGTCCCATAGAATAGGACAGAATTAGACCTGTTTTATTTGGGATCCTTCCCAAGTTAATAACTCATGAGTAGCAAACAGTATTAATGTATCAAACAGGAGAGGATACTGCTAAAGAAAGGCTCACTGCCAGTGAAAAATTAGAATGGAAAGCTGAGTGCAAGAAGAATAACCTAAAATCAGACCTCAGGACCAGACAAGTGATCTGTGGCCAGCTGGCACAGGGGAAAACAGGGTTTAACACCTCTATCTTTATATTATAGTAGGTTCATTACCTGTTATTTGTAGTAACCTTTGGGCACCAAGAAAAATTGAAATTATGTTCACTGTACTCTAGTTAGTATGGCAAGGAAACAAAGTTTTTTGACTATTACCATTTAAACATTAAAAAACAACCGTGCTTGCTTTGGCAGCACGTACACTAAAATTGGAACGATACAGAGAAGATTAGCATGGCCCCTGCGCAAGGATAACATGCGAATTCGTAAAGCGTTCCAAATTATCTTTAAAAAAAAATTTTTTTTTTTAAATAAAAAGAAAAAAGAAAAAAACAACCAACCTTCAGGCTGGGTGTGGTGGCTCACGGTCGTAATCTAAACATTTTGGAAGGCCAAGGCAGGAGAATCACTTTAGTCCAGGAGCTTGAGACTGGCCTGGGCAACCTAGCGGAACTCTGCCTTTGTTTGTTTAAAAAAAAAACAAACAACAAAAAAAAAACCCTTAAGTTATCTTTAAAAAACAAAACAAAACAAAAATGCAACCTACCACCTAAGGGAATGCTGCCTTGTCAGATGAGAGGTCACAATAAAAGCCTATTGTTTGGAAAATGAGTCAGTGACATCTCTATACACACAGGAGAAATACAGTAAAGCAATGAGAGCCAAGTCTGTGAAGCTTCAACTGCTTGTTACTTCCTTTGTAAGAACAATGAAAAGAACATGGTGAAAACTTCATCTAACATAACTTTAAAGGACCCAGAATATTTCTGCATTTAGAAGGTGTCCACCTGGTTCAAATAAAACCCTGCTAAATTGAAGCTGTGGTTCTATTTTCAAGTTTAAAGTGTCATTATACTGAGAAAATTCAGGTTTTATGTATTTAATGCAGAATCATGAAACTTTTTTTTTAATCAAAACATTCCATTATACACTGTGGTTCAGTGTATACCATTGGTGTTCAATAAATAACTGGTTTCTACTTTGTTCTAGAGGAGAGAAACAGAGTGAGTAGGCAGTTATTCTGACCAGCCAAATCCAGAAAAATTCTGGACTTTGGAATTCCTGGAACCCTAAGGTGTTCCTATGTGCTTTATATGAAAAAAACAACAACAATTAAGCAGTTTCTTCCCAGAGTGTACACATTTTTGTTCCAAAGTCTAAAATCTTTTAATGTTGTGTATCAATGACACTATTACACGAAGTAAACAGACTCATATAAAGACTTTTCCTTGGACCTCCAAGTCATTACCTATATCAGGTATTTCCAACACCCCTCTCTACATGGTCTGCTCAAAGCCGCAACTAGCCAGTAGGGTACCCTAAGGTAACACATCAACATGAAGACCAAACTCAAGTTCCTAGAAGCCTCCAAAATGGTACCTGTATTGCAACCAGTCAAGTGGCTGCTTGCCTTTTAGGAAGCATCCTAAACACTCTCAGTGCTTTAATCAGCCCTTGTTCACAGCCACTTAGGCCAACTGCCTAGAGCATGATGGAGCCAGACTTCACAGAGACTCCGAACCTGAGGATTCATCCTCAGCATCTGAAACTACATTCTGCTTCCTTTCACCTTCTCTAAGCTCAATTCCCTTAAGTTGTTTAATTTTCCAACATACGAAAGAAGAAACCTGTTTACCAAAACAATACTGGCAAAAGTCTCAAAACACACGGCAAACATACCTACAAACCAAATACAGGTATATCTACTTAATTACAAATGCCTGTAATTTATTGTAACACACATGCCTTTCGGGAAAGCCTTATATGTAAATTTTTAATCAACCAGAATAAAGGCTATGACTAGTTTTTTTGTTAGTTTGTTTTAAGCTGTATATCTAAAAGGAATGCCTCATGAAATAAGAAAAGCCAGGATTTTGGCTGGGCGTGGTAGCTCACGCCTGTAATCCCAGCACTTTGGGAGGCTGAGGTGGGCGGATCACGAGGTCAAGAGATGGAGGCCATCCTGGCCAACATGGTGAAACCCCGTCTCTACTAAAAATACAAAAAATTAGCTGGGTGTGGTGGTGCGCACCTGTAGTCCCAGCTACTTGGGAGGCTGAGGCAGGAGAATTGCTTGAACCTGGGAGGCGGAAGTAGCAGTGAGCTGAGGTGGTGCCACTGCACTCCAGCCCGGCGCCTGGTGATGGAGCGAGACTCTGTCTCAAAAAAAAAAAAAAAAGCCAGGATTTCTATCTGTTCTGGGAGTGGCCATTTAGAGTATAATGATGACCAAATGATCTCCTTTGGAAAAAAGCAAAGCAGCGCTACACATCACCATGGGATGGGATGGGGCTGGATTAAAATAAGACCCACATCATCAGATGCCAGGTACTTTGAGCACATCTGATCACAATTCTTGGAAAAAGCTCTTTAGAGGGCTAATTAAATTGATGAATCCCTCTCTCTTAGATTGAGCAGTCATATTCTTTCCACTTGATTTCCCATCCAAAGAGATTCCACTACTTCCCACCACCTCATATGGAAACCCCCTACAATTACCTCATTATTACTTACATTCAAAGCATTCTTTGCAGCTTCTGCTTCTGAGCGACTGTCAAAACTGACAAAACCTACGGGCTGAGGAAAAAAAGAGAAATATGAAGAAGAAAAAGAAATCAGACGATATCTATTTTTCTGGGTTAAGCGTGCTATCAAACTGAAAAGCTAAGACAAAGAAATGATCACAGGCAATGGGTAGAAATAAGAAAGCGAAATACTGAAGAATCATGACTCAATGGCTTAGCCAAATTTCTAACATGAATCAAAGGGATGGTGAGGGTGGTTCTTCAAGGGCACAGCTGGGGATTTAGAGAATCATAAAAAAATCTAGAAGTGGTTGAAAGGTGAACAGCAGTGAAGAAGGGAATAGAGGAAAACTTGGGTCGGAGAAGCTCTACTTTCCTAAATCAAATTCACTGTACCTCAGTTTCTTCATCTTTTAAAATGGAAAGAGAACCGAATCACCTTTTGGTACACTGTAAGTGCAAGGAATACAATGATATAATGATAAAACCCCTGGACTCTCACTGCATGACCAAAATTACAAAGTGAACATTCCTATCTCAAATCCCAAAGGATGCCTTAAAAATCCTGTGCTTAAGCCGGGCGCGGTGGCTCAAGCCTGTAATCCCAGCACTTTGGGAGGCCGAGGAGGGTGGATCACGAGGTCAAGAAATCGAGACCATCCTGGTCAACGTGGTGAAACCCCGTCTCTACTAAAACTACAAAAAATTAGCTGGGCATGGTGGCACGTGCCTGTAGTCCCAGCTACTCAGGAGGCTGAGGCAGGAGAATTGCCTGAACCCAGGAGGCGGAGGT